AACAGGAAGAAACCTCCAGCCGAACCAGGCTCAGTGTGAGCGGCCATCTGCTGAGGCCCACTGGGGTTCAAGGAGACAGAAGCAGAGACACAAAAGCAGCAGTAAAAGGCGGCCCCGTCCAGGAAACACAGCCATTGTGAAGTCAACCTTAACACTAGGGCTGCAACTAACGATTATTTTGCAAATTGATTAATTTGTCAATTTTTTGGGGATTAATTTATTAATAATAAGGATTAATCGGGCTGCTCTAATTTCTTTAGAATTTTTAACTTCAATTATTGAAAAGATTTGATTATGTATTTCTTTGTAGACTTAAATGTTTTATCGGTTTTATTCTTTTTATTTTTGTCCTTATTGGATCATCATTAGGGGCTGCTGAGTGGGGCAGTGGGTAGCACTGCTGCCTTGCAGCAAGAAGGTTCTGGGTTCGATTCCCAGCCCATTAATTGTGTCTTTCTGGATTGAGTTTGCATGTTCTCCCTGAGCATGCGAGGTTCTCTCCGGGTACTCTGGCTTCCTCCCACAGTCCAAAAATATATTGTTAAAACAGGCATGGACTGTACGATTTTTGTTCTGCCCTTTTCAGGCTGATTCTCCAGTCGTGCGGGAACTTTACAATCAGGCCGACTTCCAGCCTGATTGTGCGTCATGTAGTGTACAGTGGGTAACGAGGAGTGATTAGACTACCTCCCGATCAGGAATCATAAGGTCGGGAGAAAATCAAATGTGTGAAATTCAGTCCGACGTCGTAAGGTGGTCGTAGGCAAATCGCTCACTGCGCAAACAAGGATTCTTCTTCTTCTTCTTCAATGAAAACACTGAATCATGGTGGGATGCGAGTGAAATGGAGTTCTTTCTGTCAAATTGACTGACTGTAGTAGCCACATTTGCTCAGCCATGTCTTTGTCCAAATACGTCGTCGCCTTTTGTTTTTACGGCTTTCAGCACAAAATTGCCCAAATCACCAAGGCAGCGCGTTTCACTCTAATGAGCTTCATATTCCTCTTCTACTGGTTTCAGTAGAGTCCAACGTGGTGAAACTCAGACTTTTCCTCTTGAGAAGTTCTGGATAAGGCATATTGGCAGGCAAAATTATTATTTTTAAAATCTTAAATACAAAATGTTTCTATATGTTTTACAATCGTAGTATAATTGCTGCTCTAGTTACTGTCACCTAAAGGCATGTTTTACAGTCTCTATACTCCAGTTAGTGATTTAATCAATTACTAAATTAGTTGACGAGTATTTAAGTAATTGATTAGTCACGATTAATCCGATTAATTGCTTCAACCCTACTTAACACGATAAATTGCTCTGCTCTCTACCCTAATTTTGTTTCATATCCTTCCACTAATGGCTCCGTCATTCATCTGTTTGTCCTCGCCCTCAGGTGCCGCCCATGGACCCCATGGCCATGAAACGCTCTCAGCTCTATGGAATGAGCAACAGCCAGTACTCCCAGCAGCAGGGGGCGCCCTACCCCGGACAACCCTACGGCTCCCCGTCTTCCCACAGATACCCAATGGGAATGTCTGGCAGGGGCCAGATGGGAATGGGAGGGATGCATTACCCTCAGCAGCAGGTAGGAGGCGCTAGGTGTGCCTTTGTTGCTGGAAGTGTTTCTGGTTCACTTAATTAAAGTAAATCTGTTTAAACATCCAAGTTAACTGAATAAAACAACGTAGAGTATTTAGAGAAGTAGCTCCTAAGTGTATCGTTGCGCCCCCTAAGGACAAGCTGGTGTCATTACAGCCGGAGCATGGAATCCATTCTGTTTTTTTTTTCATTTTTCAAATGATTCAGGCTGTTTAACAGTAAAAAAAATCAGCAGTATGATGCTTTGGGTCAGACGTATCCTGAGCGCCGCCTAAAGCATCTCCATTGATTCCTATAAGACGCATATCTCACTGATGCTGACATCACTTACTGTAGGATACATCAGTACGTCATTTACTACAGTAAACGGACATATTTCACATTTTATAGTAACATTTTAATGTTTGTCTCTAAAAAAAAGCGAACCAGCTGATATACTGAGAATAAGAGCCTGTTTTATATAATATTTTTAACCTCAGTTTATCTTCCTTTCTCTTATTTGACATGATTTTTGCAGCAATGCAACCATAGAAGAAGACAAATCAAAACAGCGCAGCAGAAAGTCGACTACTTTCCATTTGCGAGTTCCTACAAAAATAGTTTACTTTTTCCTCACAATATAAGGGGAAGTAAATAAAAGAAAATCAGGGATTTCTGAAAATAAATTTGTAGATGAAGATATTTTCTTTATTGAAACCTCAAACATGGCTGAAATATCTTTCACCTTCCTGGTGAAGATTCTCACTCATCCAGCCAGGTCATCGTCATTCCAAAAATAAAATAAAAAACAATCCTCTGGACTTTGTTTCCAAGTTTGAAGACGTTTTGCTTCCCATCCAGGAAGCTTTTTCAATTTAAAATGTCAGAAATAGCTGAGTTTGAGGTTTTTATAGATGTTTTATGCATGTTTTCGAAACAAAGACAAGGTTTTGTTGGGCTGCTGTATAAAACCTCAAACTCAACATTATTCCTGACAGGGATTATTTCAGTAATTGTTTAATCAGATTTGATCTTATTGTTTCAGCCCTATATTTTACAATATATATGATATGTTTATATTCTCTGTTATTAAATAAATCAATTGTTTAATATTACATCTACCTATTTAACATTAATATTTGCGTATCTCATGCAGGGCTCGATGTTAACCATCGCCCGATCTCCCAGGGCAAGTAGTTTTTATTGTCGGGATTTATCAAACATTATATGGGCAAGTAAAAATTGTTTCTGGGCAAATGAAATGTGAAAGCCACTTGCCCTTAACGTCAACCCCTGTCATGATATAACCAGGTCACCAGGCTGAGGCAATAATCTAAACAGAAAATGTATCCAAATAATCCAAATTTAAATTTTTGATCATGTTAGATTAAACCACATGGTCTGATTTAAGGCCTCTATGCAGATACAGTTTCTAAAGAAGCTGATTGACCAGTGTGGTTCTCCTCAGAGCTTCATTCCTCATCAGAATGTGATTTAAATGCTGCGTCGTGCAGCTTTACTGCACCTTATGAGCAGCAGGTCAGATCAGCGCTGCTGCAGTTTATTAGTCTGTTTGTCATGAGATAAAGTCAAGAAGCTGTGGTTCTGTCCCAAACTAATGGACCTATGCTTATTGGTTAGTCCCGGTCAGCGGAGCGACAGCCGTGTTGGTGCTGTCAGCCACATGGCTGCAGTGGAGCGGGTCGAGCCCGGCCGGTCTGGGTCAGCCTATTTCTGGTGCCGTCTTTTTTTTTTTCGAGCCCAGACTGCTGGTTTGGACGTGAGGCTTTGTTGATTGTTTCTGGCAGCGTGTGAAACAGCTAGATGGTGACGAGTCTCAGTCACAGATGGACTTTCTGAGGATTTGTCAGAAGTTTTGCTCGGTCCTGATCTGATCTCTGCAGTGATTTCATGCCACAGCCTTTCAGGCTTCACTTTAGGTTTGGTTTGATCTGCTGAGGATTTCTGGTCCATGTTTCATTTGATAGTTCAGCTTTTTGGAGAGAGAGATGAAGTCAGAATGTTGATTTTAATATTATTGATACAGGACGTCTCTCCAGAAAAAAATAACAAAAGCAGAATTTGAAATTTCTTAAAAGAAATCCAACCCTTTAAGTAAAGTTTCTTTTAATTTGGTGCCTAGATTTTTTCTGACCTGTATCAGTCCAAGATTTTGGAGAGCATATGCTGCAAAATCCTCTTTTTATTTTTTAAGCTGATTTTGTTTTGCAGTGTAGAAAAGTAGAGATGAACTGATCCCGTATTAATATTGGTATAGGCAGAATATTCTAGATCAGGTTTGGGACCGAATGATGGACAGATGAGTTCAATCTGTAACTGGAATGAATTTAAGTTACGGTAGATCAAATTTTTCTTGAGTAGCAGAAAGTTTTTTTTCTTCCCCTCTATGCTCTGAGATTATAAAGTCAGTTTTAACTTTTCAGGAAAAAATCCATCCTGCTAAGATAAATTACTGTTTTTTAAACCTCTTCCTCTGACCTTTGACTAATCTCAAGTTGCCCTTTTTGCTATATAAATGTTTACATTTATACATTTTATACTTGCTTGTAGAAGGGAGTTTATTAGAGCCTCTTAAACCAGCGGTGACGATGAGAACATGAAATCAAACAGATCTCTGCTATTAGAAAATAACAGGATCTGCAGATCTCTAAATTCCAGTATCAGATGTGAGAATGTGGAGCATCTCTGCTCTCCAGATGCATCTTTAGACCATTTTCCATCTCCGCTTTGTGTATAGAACAGTTACATCTCAGCATTTTCTCCATTTCTATACAAGGTCCTGAAATTCCAGCTTCCTAACACCATGAATCCAGCTTAAGGAAGCCTAAGTTATTACTGGGTGTATTAACTAGGGCTGCAACTAATGATTATTTTTGCAAAATTGATTAATCTGTTGATTTTTTTTTTTTAACAATTATTAGTATATTTATAATTACTGCTCTGAGTGGGTCACTCTGTCAGCTAAAGGCATATTTTACTGTCTGTATACTAGAGCTGAAACCATCGTAATAATCTGGATTAATCGATTATTTTATTGATTGTCAATTAATTTAGTAATTGATTCATCATTAACTGGATTATAGCGGCTGTAAAATATGCCCTTAGCTGACAGAGAAACCCATTTAGAGCAGGAATTATACCAACATAAAAAAAAAATCTGTAAACATTTCCCATTTAAGATTAGAAATGAACATTTCCATCTGTCCATATGTTCTACCAAGAACTCCTCAAGTGGAAAGTTTCAGTCGGTTCGTAAAAAATCGCTTTTTAAGAAATCTTTGGCTATCCGATTATTAATAGATTATTGGAAAAAAAATCAACAGATTAATCAATTTGCAAATGAATTGTTTGTGGAAGCAGTTTGGCGCTTTAGTTTATATGTCAGTGATTGATTATTTTATTATATATATATTTTTTTTATATTTTTATCTTTTTTTATTATTATATTCTTGTTTTTGTCTGTTAATGGACCATAATTGTGTCTAAATAAAGAGATTTATTGATTAATAATCTGATATTTCATATATCAAATTAGACGATTTGAATAATCATATATATATATATATATATATATATATATATATATATATATATATATATATATAATCTGCGGGGGTTGGAAGCTGGTATGGATCCAGCTTTGGGAGGACAGAGGTTTCTCCAGGTGCTCCCTGGCCTCCTGCTGTAGTGTGACTGGATCAACCCGATGTCTGAAGCGAGGAATCAGTTCATAAGATTAGAACCAAACCTTGTTCTGTTCTCACAGTACCAGAACCTGAACCATGAAAGGATCCATTTGGACCTCAGTTCCAGTTCCAGACGGTTGGAAATCCTCTCCACATCCCCAGAACTCCTTGTTCTCCTGCTGTTCTCTGTTTCTGGGTTATTTGTTCTGGTTCCTCTCAGTTCTTTGTGTCGGACCCTGGAACTGTTTGTCTCTAAAACTTCCTGCAGTCTGAAGTTTCTTCATGCGAACAAACAGCTGTTTGGCTCCAGATGTGTCGGTAACAGAACCACCGGGTTACTGTAGTTCAGGTGTTGTGCTGTTAGCGGAGAGCGGAGGAATGTCTGTGGGTGTTATCGGGCCGGCTTCTCTGAGACGTGTCGGAGCAGGCAGTCAGGAAGAACCTGTTGGTTTTCAGGAATACGGATCAGAAGATAAACAGAGAACGTTTGAGGTTCTCTTCATGCAAACCATCAGCTGATCCACTTCAGAACAGCTGAAAGAATCAATTAAGTGTTTTTTATTCACTTTATGTCTCTTGTTCTGGGCCACTGATTGTTGTGAGCTGTTATTAAAGTGGGGGAATAGATAAAGATAAATAGATCTATTTAAATTAGTTTCACTTTCTGAAATGAGTGACAGAAAATCTCAAACCGTTTTAATATGTGCGATACTCCTGTTAACTCAGGTGAAGTAGCTTTAGCAATCAGTCCTGATGTGTTTCTGCTGTTTGAGGATCAGAGCAGAGAGTTTTGCAGCTTATTGGACGTTTTTAGGCCTTTTTCACTGTTTCTGTGACACAAATGCATCATAGATTCAGATTCCTGCTCTTTTTGGAGCCTGTTTTTACACAGCAGCTCCTGAAAGGTCTCCGTTACGCTGGAGTTTTTCCCTCTGAAGGGAAACTGTCTTTTGTTTCGTCTTCGTCAGTCTTTGTTCCTTTTCCTGAGGAATAACTGCGGCGTTTCTGTACCACTCTGAGTTTCTGGATCTACGTCTGATCCGAGCTGAAAGGAATTCGTTTCAGATCCATGTTGGTTCATAGCCTGTCGGCAGGTCAGAGGTCACTGTTAATACTGGAAGGATGTAGAGAGGCTGAAAGCATTTCAGTCTGATGAGAAGCAGCAGATTTCATCTTCTCTCACTACATTACCCATAATTCTCAGCTACTAAGGTTGGAGAAGAACCTGGCAATACATTTGAATCTGGTTTAGATGTTCATCATGTTCTGATGTTTTACCAGCAGAAACATATTCATTGGTGTTTTTAAAAGCACTCAGAACGGTTTCATTAAAACCAGTTCAGAGTCAAATTTCCTCCATTTATTAATAAAAAAAATGCAATGCTTTTCTAATTTCTCAGATTATATTTTAACTGCTAATGCTAAGAAAATAACCCTATTTGAATATTTGCATGTTCTGAAATAAATGCTAAGAAAAAGGAAAAAAAAGTACAAAACATAAAGATCTTGAAATACTCAAATATTTAAAAATTGGATTTCCAAAATTTATTTTAATATTTATTCATCAAAGTTGTGTGATCATTAAATACGTAAAACAGTATTAAGTTTGCTTTTGGTAAATCTGTTATTTTAAGTTCAAAATGATTGATATTGTCCTACAAACATAAAATGTAATTAAAAAAGCTGAAAGGGATCATTTTATTTGTGTAATCAAAGAGGAATCTACAGCTACTGACCTTTGACCTTCAATTATATAATCTTAAAGGCATAAAAATGTATTTTGATGAGCAATTAATCTGATCATTTGTTTTTGATTAATCAATAAATAATCAGATAGGGAAAGATTCTTTAAAGAAGATTTTTTACAGAATTAAAACAAGGTGAAATTAAAACTTTTTCAAATGGCTGAGTTACCTCCTCAGTTTGCAGTTAGTTCCTCCCTATTATCTGATTGATTCAGGTTCTTTGAACCAAAGGCACATCTAAAAGTTGCAGGATACCGGCCCCCAGGAACTGGAACTGCCCACCCCTGTTTTAGATGAATTATTTATTATTTATGTCCAGCTTAGTTCTGTAGAACCTAAACAGAAGTAGGAGCCTTTTAGAGGCGACATCGTCCACCTGAGCAGCAGAGTCAGCGTTTTTCTGTCTATAATCACTCTGACCTGCGGGCTAACCGGACCCGTTTCCCCTCAGATGGGCTCTCAGTACGGCTCGCAGCAGCAGAACCTGAGCAGCTACAGCCAACCGGGTCAGCCGCCGTACTTCAGCCCCCCCCAGCAGCAGCCGGCTGCCCCCAGCCAGCCTCCCTACATGCAGCCCTGCCCGCTGCCCTCACAGGTAGGATCCAGTCTCCATGGTGACAGTATATCCGAAGTGGAAAATGTTCTGAATGAGGACGGGATGCTGATTGGTTGATTCTGACATCCTGCTTGTTTTAACCTGTCGAGCTAAAGCTGAATCTGTCTCCAGGAGGTCCCTCAGGAGGCGTACGGGGGGCGGGGCAAGTCTGCAGCGATGACTCCTGGGAAACCAAACCACGAGGACATGAGTGGGAGCCAGCAGGAGAGGCCGTCCAGCCTGCCGGTGAGTCCAGAAGCCTCAGAGCTTTTTACTGACTGAGAAACAACGGAAATGATCGATGACCTGGAAAAATAACAGCTTAGTTTAAACATTCAACGTTCATTTTATTTTGAAAAGCCCCCCAGTGTTCCTCCTCTCATCATTAAAGTGATCTGTTTTTCCTGGTGTTTTGTTGACGTCCCAGTTTGGCCCAGTGGGTCAGCGCTGACACACACAGCAGAGTTATTTTCAGAGCAGAGCTGATTGTGATTCAGACTCTGACTGCGGCAGATTGAACAGACTTCTGGCCCCGCCGCTGCCTTTGCTCTCAGGTCGTCCTGCAGATCCTCCTCCTCCTCCGTAATGATGGCGGCCATTCCTGCCAGCAGCTGAAATGTACAGAGATCACGCTCCGAGCCGCTGAAGCTTTCCGCTGGGTCTCATTGTCAGAAGCACAACAGAACTAATGATGGTTCTGATCCATAACGACTAGCTGAGAAAAATACTCCTGAGATCCTGGTTTTAAAGCATCCTGCTTGTGTCTCAAGAGAAAAGAAGCAGCTTTATGAACAGTGTAAAGCTTCTCCTGTAACCGATTTTTATTCATTAAATTCCCAACGGCTAAATCTGTGAGAAAGATTATAGATATTCATAATGGCATTGATGGGGAAGGGGAAAAGATAACGATACTAAAATAGATCAGAAATCTTTATCGTCGCACAGTGGGGAAATTCAGACGTGTGTCAAGTGAAGTAGAAGCTTCACAGGGATTGGTTCATGGAGGGGGGCAGGAGAATGACGGTGTATTTCAGTGTAACCAGCTTTAAGCTTTTAGGCTCCTTTTTTGTCAGCCTATCTGACCTTTGACCTTCTGATGTTGAGCCTAGGCCCTCCCATTCTCTCCTTCTTGTCTCGCTGCCTCCTGTTCCTCTGTCTGAACTTCTGCTGCTGATGCAGTTGCCGTGGCGACTGCTGGTTGTGACGACAGGGCGGTAAGACGGCAGAGTTGCAGCAGACGGCTGCTTTGTGAGTCCTCTGCAATGAGCTGACTTCAGATCAGAGGTCTCTTTATCAGACGGCGCCGTGTGGAAGAAACCAGCTCTGAGATCGGATCGGGTCGTGGAGCTCCGTCTTTGGGCTTCAGGTTGTCATGGCAACCCGATTCTCTTCTATGACACCAGGTTTCATCACCCATTATGGCTCTGGTTCTCATTGTTCAGCTGCTTCTGACTCAGATTGCAGGACCCGGATCGGCGGAAACGGAAACAAAGCCGCAAACATCTGGATGGAAACCACCTCCGGTCCTCACAGAGATACACAAACAGATGCGGTAAACTGGAGCTGCAGGGAAACACTGTACCGACAGAGAGGAGCTGCTGATTGTTGGAGCTGTTGATTCAGAGCTCTGATTGGCTGGGGAACAGCACTACATTACTGCATTTTTATTTTTATTTACTTTATCGTTCATTCAAAGCTCAGGATGAAGCTGGAGTTCTGCTTCCACTCAGAAGGTGGGATTTTAGGCCAGAATTATTACCTGTACTGTTATCACTACATGTTGGATACACCGTGGATGGTAACGCAGATTAACAGCAAGCCAAACTCTCTCTTTCCTGAACCAGGAAGCTAAGCTTCTTGCTCTTTTATTACTGTCTTCTTACAATTTTATACAATTTTGTGAGAAGCTCAATGAAAGCTTTGAGTGAAACCAGAAAATAAAATATGCATCAGCTCTAAATGCACAGAATAAACTTCAATACAATTAACCTTAGCTGTTCTTATGAATCTATGGAAGAGGATTAGGGCCACTGAAACAATAAAAAAAAATTATTTTTTTATTTTATTTCAGTATAATATGAGAAAAAGTCAGAATTCTGAGTTTTTTCTGACTTACGCTTCTGTTTCAATTGACCCATATTTATGCTGCGTTCTCCTGTTCTCCAGACTTTCCGGGGTTCTTATCAAGAACATACTTGGCGAGGACACGAGTCCGTACTCGTGTTCATGGCTAGCTAGCGCTCCATCGGACAGCCGGCTACAGCCTGCAGCTGCTCCCAGTGTTTTTAATTTCAACGCCTATAAGCAGGGCTCTACTGACCGATCAACACAATCAGCCGTAATGACAGGGAATGAAAACATGCTAACCAGGCAGAGCAGAGACGGAAGCAGTTATGTTGACGCGCTCCTATCTCAAAAACGTCCATCACTAGAGCTTAATTCTCCGACTTTATCCATTTTAGCCTCTTAATAACACACGTTTTTATAACTCAAGCTGCAGCCGTCAGGATGAACATATCTCTGCAGCACAGGGTCCTTTAGCCACCGGCTGCCACAGTGAGTCTAAACCTCCAGAGAAATGGATCATTTCTTACCCTGATTCCCCGTTTCCCAGACAGGCAGTCAGGTTATCCTCAGGTCCCAGCTCTCCCTCACTATCCGGGGGGCTTTATCCCTGAAATGCTCGGCCGCTCCATGTGTCTGCTCCGGGTCACTCAGGGTCACCTCCATGCTGCCTGGTGTTGCTGCTGTTCCAGGGTTTCCGCGGGTCGTTAAAATCATGAAAAGTCATTAAATTATTGTTTAAATTAAGGCCTTAATTGGCATTAAAATTCATTAAATGTGTTTATTGTGGCATTTAAAATGCTTTATTAAAAAAAAAATTATAAAAGCAATTTCGTCAGACATATTATATCATGATATATTTGTGTGGAACTGCTTCCGGTTGATCGCAAAGCTGTATGTTCAGAAAAGAAGGTTGAGTCAGAGAAAAGGCCAGAGAATGGGGTGGAAATAAGCAAATTTCAACAAAAGCGGCTGGAAAATGAGGAATTCAGGACATGGCTGCAGCCTGTCGACGGGTACCTGTTGGTGGCATTAAAATTATTTTTAAGAGCATTAAAAGAGCTTTAAAAAGCATTAAATTTGAGTTATTCATTCCTGTATAAACCCTGTGTTCACGGTTGCCAACGGCGATGGAGTGTCAGGAAGCTGACCGTGAAGGAAGTTGTGCTTTAACGATGTTCGGACATCTAGACATCCATAGTTTTTAAAGTTATGATGCAACACTTCTTCTTAACTAAATGTTTTTTTTATAATTTTTTTGTAAATAACCGTCCCACCGTGTCGGTGACCCGGATCATCAGTGAGTCTCTGTCTCTCTTCCAGGACCTTTCCCGCTCCATCGACGACCTGCTCACCGGCACGGAGGCCCCGGTGAGCTCAGGGGCCTCGGGGTCTGGCAGCACTCACGGAGACCAAGGGACCCCGGGGGCCCGCTCACCGTTTTCCCCCCACGTCTCGCCGCGCCTCCCCCCGCCAACTCGAACTGGGCCTTCGCCCGCCCCATCGCTGTCCCCCGCGGGATCCCGTTCGGGGCCCCTGTCCCCCACCAGCACCAGCGGCCCAGGTTGGCTGAGGATGATGAAGAATGATGTCACAACTCAAACTGTGCTGTAACATTTTATCTGTCTGTGTCTCAGGCTCTCAGGTGGCCCCCCAGGTGGCCCCCGGTCCTGGATCAGATGCTGGCTCCCATCCCTCCCAGTCAGCCATGCCTTCAGACAGAGGTATTTGCTCCGTTTCGATCATCTGGGGGCCCAGAATGAGGGCCGCCTCTCACTGCTCTATGAATCTTTTTCAGGTTTCCCACCCTCCATGCAGCGCAGCACCCAGGGCTCTCATTTTGGACCCTCACCCATGTCCCCCCACCCGGCACCAGTGGGCCCCATGCACCACAGCCCCTACCACCAGAGCAGCCACTCCTACGGCCCCCCAGGTAAGACATAAGGGCCCCATGCTGCTGCAGAGGAATGATTCTGTCTCTGTGTGACGTCCGCTTTGATCTACAGGTAACTACCCCCGGCCCCCCCACTACGGAGGGACGCCTGCTGCCGGCTACAGCGGTCCAAGCCCGGGGCCCAACGTGGGCCTGAACACCACGGGCCCCATGCACGGCCAAGGCCCCTCAACCCCATCAGGCCGTGGCCCCGGGCCTGGAGCCGGGGGCCGTCCCTACACTGCAGGACCGGGCACCATGGCCCCCACCTCCCCAAACATGCCCCAAGCTGCTGGCCAAGGCATGGGGCCCTTAGGGCCAAATGCCAGCTGTAAGCCGCCGGAGATGGGCCCCAACTCTGGACCAGGTGCAAACTCCTCCCACAGCAGGTGAGAACCAGTTGATAGGTGGCAGAGAAGCGCCCTCTGGTGTCTGGAAGCTGAACTGTTTGGAGAAAAAGGAAACGGTTCATTAAACGATCCTCTGCAGACGAGTCTGAACGAGACGCAGGAACCGGTTTCCTTTTAAACGAGCGATTATCATAAAACTGAAAAGATTTGCTTTGATTCCTGAGTTCAACCATCAGAAAAGGTTGATGATGATGTTCCTTTTTTGTGTTCATCATTTGTTATAAGCTGCTTCTCTGTTGATGACCTTAAACATGACATGTGATGAGTTTCCGTCCACATCCAGGCAGGGCGGCTACTCAGCAATGAGCCCGATGGGAGGAGGGCCTTACAGCCTGCAGCCGGGCAGCAACTCCGGCAGGATGACCCCACAGGGACCCCCTTACACCGCCGCAGGTAGGACCGCAGTCCAGAAGCCCCATATTTAGGATCAGGAATGTCTCAGAGGGTGTAATCCATCGTCTGTGTTTTTAATTCCTTCCTGCCAGGCTTAGGGGTGATGGCTGCTGACGGGATGGGTCCTCATGGAGAACTAAAGCAGCGGATGGAGCTCAGCAGGGAGGCCGTCGGCCCTGCAGCCGATCAGCTCAAACTGAAGGTTTGTTCTGAGCCGCCTCTGTCCACAGCAGCAGTTTCTAAACTCTTTTAAGGAGGCATCTGAAGGTGAAAGTTCAGAGATGATATAAAAACACCTGAGATTCTGTGAACAAAGCCAATCAGCTTTAAGAGGGAATAATGTTTTAGCAAGCAGGAGTTTAATGTTTAGATTATTAATACGGAAATCTGAGGATTTCTCAGGGAAGAACCGGTTATTTTTGGCCGATATCAATATCATGCGTTAATATTGTTGTTTTAGCTAATAACTGATCTTTTCAGGTATTTATTTACTCTTCAGGTATGAAAAAATGACATGCGACTGCTTTAGTCTAGTCGCAGGTATGAAGCAGACATTTTTGATTTATGCCCAATATTGAAGAGTGGTCTGCGCTGTTATTCTACGCCACAACTCAAGAGGGACAAACTAGCTGTGGGTCTAGATACGGCCAAGGCGGTGAGGAAGTGGGGGCAAGTTTTTGCGACAACGGAGGGACATGAGGGCCAAAAAAAGCGGGGATCCAGGTGGGAAAAGGGTCCCAGCATTCTCGCGCACCTCGCTCTTGTTGTTGGTCCATCTTCACGAGCCGTTTTTCACAATGGTGGTCATACAAACAAACAAGTAAGGAACCAAACAGGAAATACGCATAGTGTAGAGCAGATGTAGATTTGAGCAATCAGAGGCCTCCTCTCTGCGGCACTGTCTGCGGTCACCTACAATTTGGAAGAGGTGCGGCAGAGTGTCTGCGGAAGGGGGCGGAGACATCTCTTCGTTAACTACGACACAAGCAGACAACCTGGTTTCGAAGTATAAATCAGCCTTTTGACGGGTATAGGTCATTGCAGGCTAACAAAAGAAGCCAAGCGATCCCCATTCCAAAGGGGTGGATCACCTCTGTTCCAATTTGCATACTTTTTAAAACTGCAAAATGTTTCCTTTAGATGTTTGCCTCCAGGTTTTCACTGTTTCACGGCCCTGATTGTTCTCCTGTCCAGAGTCACGGTTCCTAAACTAGAAATCATCTCACCCCCTCGGCTTTGAACTTTTCGTTTATATCAAAGTATTCTCTTGTACTTTTACAACAGTTTCTTATTGTTTCACAGTTGTTGTTATTTTTTCATTGTGATCCTTTAAAAACTGCTATAAGGGAAAATCGGTCAAATCCAGGATGGACATTTCAGGCTTTTTGAATATTGGTTATCGTGATCCTGCAGAAAAAAAAACAGTGGGAGCATCTTGAACCTTTTTAAAACATTAAGGGTTTGGAACTTGCTAGTTTTTTTATTTCCTTTGAAGCTCTTTAGAATCGTTAGCTGCAGCGCTAAGCTGAAATAACTAAATTCAGTTTAAGACTAAAAGCAGCGACATGGATGTTTTCTTTATTCCAGAGTTCAACCATTACGATCAACCTGAATTAGATTTAGTCATAAAATAACAAAAAACAAATTCAGTCGGATGTAAACTGTAAAGCAGAGTTCACGGATTAGCGGACCGCGGTCCTTGTCCGGACCCAACTGATTTAAAACGTTTATAAATGACTGCGTGTTTTCCGACGGCAGTGTCTAATTTCACTTGCGCCGCTTCTCCTGGTAATACGGTAAAGCCCTGGGGAGCGTCC